AACTGGCAAACCTTCTGCCGACTACTTAGAATGATCACAGGTTAGCAGACATTGGACATGAAATATCATTGTTAATTATTCATCTATTAGCTTAGTTATTGTTTTACTCTCTTTAATTTGGTCTGACAAGGAGAGAAATACATCGGAGAAAAATATATAAATGAGTAGCAACTTATTATTTAAGTAACTGCAGACCCAAAAATCATCCAGAAAGTTCTTGGCTCTGAAAAATGTCTATTTCAAGAATTCAGGGCTACAGACACTTTCCAGTAGATAGAAAATAAATTAGATAAAGATATGTAAGTATTTTAAAAGCCCTTGAAAAAATAAAAATAGGAACTAAGATGAGGTTATATAATGAAAAAAATTTTTTTTAATCAGCCCTCCATTTGGGTTAATAATCTTTACTCAAACTTCAGCTGAGATTTTAAGCTCAGTTAAAAGTCAAAAATAAAGCAACTTACATATAGGAAAACTTTGTATTGGCCTTGTCCCACTCCTTTATTGACTTAGTGGTCTGTGTTTCCAAGGTGGGATCCTGGTCCCAGGTTCTGGAGGGAGTAAAGTGGATATTATTCACAAATAATTGGTTATATCTTTATCACTTGCCTAGGGGCTACCAGAACTACTGATGCAAGGTCCTTATCTTCATTTCATTTAACACTGAACTCAGTGTAGAAAAGTATTATAAAGCTAATGAACAGCCCACAGTCACCTGGGGCAAAAGATTATGGCTGAGATACACAATAAATGGTCCATGCCAGGGAATAATGCTGGGGGCAAATTTTTTGGGAAATCAGGACATTCAAAAATACATATGTAGTGTAGGGAATTTAGAAGCCATACTTATTCCCATAACAGACTTGAGAAGACCCTGTGCTTTCACCTATGGCATATTTCTTGGCTTAGTACAGCTCAGTACAAACAAGTATTGAAGAAGTACTCAAGTTTAGGGCTAATCTGCAAAGAAAGGGAGAAATGATTTTGCAACAACTGGATTTTCATATGCAAAAGTGTGGATTTGGGCCCCTGCCTCATGCCATATACTAAAATTAATCGAATATGAATCAATGACCTCAATATAATAGCTAAAATCCTAAAACTCTACAAGGAAACATAGGTATAAATCTTCATAACTGTGAGTTCACAATGGATTCCTGTATACAGCATCAAAATCATAAGCAATAAAATGAAACAAGTGAGCAAAAAATAGAAAAATTAGACCTCATTAAAATTACAAAGTTTTATGCATCATAGGATATGATCAAGAAAGTGAGAAGCAAATCCACAGAATGGTAGAAAGTACTGGCAAATCACATATCTAACAGGAGTTTGATATCCAGAACATACAAAGAACTCCTAACTCAACAACAACAACAACAAAAAACCCAGCTTTAAAAATGGGCAAAATACTTAAATAGACATTTCTCCGAAGAAGATGTACCAATTGCTTGCTAACAAGCACATGAAAAGTTTATTAACGTCACTAATAATGAGGAAAATGCAAATCAAAACCATAATGAGATACTCCTCTACACTCATTAGGATGGCTATTATCCAAAAAATGGAAAATAACAAATATCCAAGATGTGCAGGAATGGAAACCCATGTGAACCGCTGGTGGGAATATAAAATGGTGTAGCCACTATTGAAAGGAGTTTAATGGCTTCTCAGTGGGCTAAATATAGAATTACTGAATGGTCCAGAATTCTACAAGGCATATACCCAAAGCGATTGGAAGCAGGGACTCAAACAGATACTTGTACAGCAATGTCCCTTTCAGCGTTATCCACAATAAATAGCCAAGAGATGGAAATATTGTAGGTGTCCATCAACAGTTAAATGGATTTTAAAAAGTGTGGGTGTGTGCAGGCGTGTGTATACATATCCATATAGTGAAATATTATTCAGTCATATAATGAAATTTCTAATACATGTTTCAACATGGATGAAACTTGAAAACATGCCTAGTGATTTAATCAGCTGCAAAAGAAAAAATATTGTATGATTTCATTTATATTAGATATTAAGAATAAGCAAATGTATAGGGATAGAAGTTAGATTAGAGGTTACCAAGGATCAGGGGAGGAAATAACGGGGAGTTATTGCTTAATGACCCCAGAGTTTCTATTTGGAGTGATGAAAACGTTTTGGAAATAGAGGTGATGTTTGCACAACATTGTGAATATAATTATACTAAATTGTACACTTAGATATGGTCGAAATGACAAATTTGGTGTCATACATATTTTTACCACAATATTAAAAAACCAAACAATGAGAACTTACGTGGTTGTGAATAAGTGAAGCAGTAACAGTAATTAAAAGAGACAGTCAAACCAAAGCTTTCAAATTTTTAAATCTTAACTATAATTTTCATTTGAAAGTTCCATTCACCAAAATGTAAAAATTGTCAGCTACCCTGTAAAAAATTCATAGAATTTTAAAATTTGAAAATGTATTCCACAGTTTTTACATATAGAAACTGAAACCCAGAGAGGTAAAAACTATGTTTAAAACCACATACACATTAGAGACCAAACCACAATTAGAGTTTCTTTTGCAATTTTCTTCCTATTTTCATTTAGCCGACTGTTACTCCTTAAGCACTGTCAGTTTTTGGAGGACACGGCATTTTACCTGCATTTTTCGTCGCTGCCAGTTTAGAACTTTGCACAGTACCTGGTATTCAGTAAATTTTTCATAAACTTTCCTGGAATTAATTTAGAAATCACCATTTGGTTATTTTGGGCTTTTTTGCTGGTTTGGTAACATTGTGGCTCAAGAACAGAAGAAATAATGACCCAGCTTAAATCAGACCGGATTTCAGCCATCTGAAACTCCTCAAGTCAAGCCATTACAAGAGAGAGGAAAGGAGTTTGCATTCACGCTCTGACAATGAACTGACTCTGTAAGAACAGAACAAATAGAACCATCTCAAATGATGCTCAGAAGAATTACCGTAACTGAAGAGAATGAAAGAAGGAAGTAGATAAGGTGTTCTGAATATACAATTATGTTTCCTGTAATATTTTCCATCTAATAAATTATATAACATTAATGTTGTCAAAACATATAATACATTGTAAAATAATCTTAAAATTGTCTTTCAAATTTAAGACATTCTAATCAGAATAATCAGTAAGGTAAATCTTGTGGCTGTTTTACTTTTAATAAAATAAGCTGCCAAAAATCAACAAGAAAGAAATTTTCTATGTTCTAGAAAGTGTTACTTCGGTTGTGTTTCTTGGTTATAAAATTTTAAGACAAGCAGAAACTTCTTGTGTTGGAGAAATTGTGTAGTAATGTGAGTTTGGCTTATGGAAAGTTTCTCTAGCCCCTGAAAAAGAAGAATCTGGGGGAGTATAAGGAGCCATGTGCATTCTGGGAAGGAAGGGTCCCAGATATCCAATGCCTTTCCTCCCAAGTCTGAAAGTTAAGTAAAACTGTGGGAGTGAACTGCTATCTTCATAAACAAACTTTTCTAGCATAAAAGGCAACAAAGAGGAATTAATTCACCATGTTAGGAGAGAACCCCTAGCTTTAGGATCTGGATCTAATAGAAAGACCACCAAGAGGGGTTGTCCTAACCTGGCATACAACCAGATTTGCAGCCTTTTGCAGACCCATCTCCCTGGCATGTGGTGGTGCTTTGGGACCCATCAGGTAAGTGTGAGGTAAATTAGACAAATCTTGGCGCTTAGCAGTAATTGGAAATCATCTGATTATTACCTGAGCACAGCTCAGGTAATATTATATTATATTATATTATGTGGGGCTGACGTTTGATATGACTCACCGTGGCAATAATTGATTTTAAAATGCCAGTGGGCTGATAGGACAGTCTAGTTCACTTGCTCCACTTTACTACCACACACACGACTGAAGTCCTTCAAATAAGTTTTAAGTGAGCAAGTGCCTGTGGTATTTACACAACTAAAGAAAACGGGGAGATGGCCTCATGGGGAAAGCTTCGAATTTTTCCTTCCCTTTTTTTTTTAAGCTGATGAAAGCATCAGTGATTAATCGGACAGATGAACCAAGTATGGGCATCCTTGCACACAGGATTGATTGGGCTGTCCCATTACGTTACCACCATTAAGCACAAACCTGTGAGAGCACTCTCCTGATTTTTTGCTGTTGTCCATTTTAAAATTAGATCTCTAAACTTTATTGATAAAATAAGATGTCCAATTTCTCTTAATGTAAATAGATTAAATTTCTACACTTAAAGTAACACACATCTAAAGACATCCTAAAGATTAGAAGGAAAATAGAAAACCGGATATACTAATAATTTAAAAGATTACTATAAATAATTCAATATATGGAAAATGCACTACCTGGTTATTAAGTGAAGTAATTAAAATCAAACAATACTGAGATACCCTTTTGGACATATCAAGTTGGCTAAGATTTATTAGATAAATTCTTGAGACATTGAGACAAGCACTCTTATCTACTGATGGTTAAATGAAAATTGGTCCATCCTGTAGGAAAGAAAGAAAATAATGAACATATACATATTTTAAGAGTTCATACTCTTTAATCCTAGAATTCTCACAGGTAAATAGATATTTGTACTGAAAGTTTATACAAATATGTTTAATAAATCTCTGCCACATAAGCAAAAATTAATACACACAAAGAAAAGCAATGTAGCAGTCCAACAATAGGGATTGCTTAAATCAAGCACCGCGAAGATATAACTTGGAAAATCATATAGCACTAAAAGGAGCACGTATCTTGGAAAATTATATAGCAGCATTGCTTTAGTGTTTCAAATAGTATCCAGACTTAAGTGAATTGAAAAGAAACTGATTGCTCTTCTTTGATAAAATTAAAAGTCTTGCAAGGGCATCTTGTGACACTAACTACTTGGAGCAGTTATTCTTTTCCAATAACTCACCAAATGGGCCCAGAGCTATGCACTGGGAGTTTATGATAATGTCACGACTGGTTTTTGTAAGAAATTTGTGTTGCCACATGTTTCTTCATAGAGTGGATCATGGGACTCTTGTTCTGAAATTGTATACCAACCAGATGAGCATATCCTGTAACAGTGGGAGGAGGACACACTTCCAGTTTTTGGAAGATTCATTGATTTCTCAGCAAGAGAGATTGTGCCTTCAGCAATAGCCATGGAGAATCTATGCTGTGAGTATTCACACTTCTTTACCATAGCACCTCCCCACTTTCCAGTCCTCGGATTTTCTTTTTTGCTTTTATTTTACCTATTGCTACTAAAAAAAGCTTTAGATCATAGGCAATAAACATACATTTCACAACTGAATTTGCATTGTATTTGATGTACATGACTATTAAATATATATGTGTAGCGAAATGCTTTATGAGAAAATACTAAGTTAAAAATCTCAGATATAAGAGGCTGGTCAGTCATTGTATACATACATGCGTGTGTGTGCACACACATATTAAGAAGACATTATTTAAAGCTACAAAATTGCTTAAGAGATTTTAATCAGTGACGAATACCATGAAGATATCCTTTTTCACTTCATTATCAAGGTATATTAGAAAACATGCATAATAGAGGCCAGCCAGTATAACTCATTGATCTTGTATCCCCAAGAAAAGCTAACACATGCTTGCAAGTTCAATAATCTATGTGGTCATTGTCACTTAAGGTGCTTGCTGTAAATATAATTACAACTCATCTATATCTATCTATCTATGTATCCATGTATCTATCTATCTATCTATCTATCTATCTATCTATCTATCTATCTATCTATCTATCTATCTATAGAATTGTGCACTTTAGCATATCTCAAATTATGCTGGTGGCAACTTTAAGAGTTTATTTTGCTTCTCAGACAGTTGTCCTATAAATAATGGTGCAATCTGCTGTAGTGTAATCTATATTATTGGCAGAATTCTTCATGTTTGTGCATCAAGTATCACTAAAAATACATTCCACACTTTCATACTGAGTAAAACATTAACCTTTGAATCTCTTAGGATGCAGTTTATAAATATAAACAGAAATAAAAAAGAAATATTCACAGGTTTGACATATAGACAAAAATGGGGCTCACTAGTATTTCAAAATTAAAAGCACTAGATCATAGATTTAAAGACATATGGCACCATTATTTAGTTCTTGTGAAAATTTTCTGTAAAATTATTGCAGAAGTGATATATATTCTGTTACAACAACTATGAGTTTTGCCTTAATAACCTTCTTTTTATTGTTTTGACAAAATTTGCCATTGTTTTAGTTCGTTTTTATTTGCATAAGTCTCTAAGCCCACCCTTTGTAAAATTCTAGATGTCAAAACCTCTTTAGTTTTAATTAATAAAAAATGCATATTGAATTTGCTGTTATTTTTTTGTTATTAATTCCATAAGTTATAGGAAAAAAGCAGAGGTAAAATGTATTTTAAAACTAAAATGTGAAATACAAGTTAGAATAATTGGTGAATTTTAGGAAGCAAAGGCCTAGTACATAAGCACTTTAATTGTGTTGTCTAAAATGTTTAATCAATAAAGCAGATAATTACTCCAAATGGAGCTATATGTGCTATCTAAGGTAGTTAATCTTTTGCTATTTTGTATTTTTTTAACTAATAAGAATTAATGTTTACCATCACCAACACACACACACACACACCCCACACACCATACAGATAACTCCAAAACAGTCAGTCCAACTCTTTTTCCCGATTCCCGGGAGCCCATCTGATCAGTTACTCTACTCTGCCCTTGAAAGATTGTGAACCAGGTTTATTAGAGTAAGACTTCCAACACAATGTTAATGTTTCTCTAGACCATTAATTTTCAAGCTGTGCTCCTCAGAGTCAGAAAGATCTGTAAGAGATGTTTTTGGGGTTGCACTGGGGTATGAGAGTGTGGCAAAGAGGAGGAACCCCTGAGGACCTCTGCTCTTTCAGTAAAAGAATCTGTTCTATACCAAACAGCAACAGTAAAAACCTTTTCTATGTTGATGAGTTCAATGGAGAGATAGCATGACTTCCAGGAACCTCTTGCTTCAGGGGCTGTATACATGACCTCCTCTAAAGAATCTGTGCTATCTGCCTTTGACCATAACAGTGGTACCTGTTTGGAAAAAAGATTGCCACAGAGTCCTGGAAGATGGAGATTTAGAGCTGGAAGGCTGCCCCAAGATCCTTGGTTCCAGTGTTGTTATTTTACAGGAGATGGATCCAAGATAAATAGAGAATAAATTACTTGCTTAGAGTCTCACAGATTAAATAAATCAACATCTATTCTTTGAAAATTTTATGGATTAAATACCATGTGTAATACCATGTTTGCTGATTAAATACCATGTGCCAACACATTGGCTCTGTACTGAGAATCGATAGAGTGCTACTTAAGATGGACACACTCATCGCTCCGTGGAGCTCACACTCAGAGAGACAATAAAATAAGCATGTACAAAATGAATGTCAAGTTTCAAGAGCTAAAGTGCTGTGAGGGAGGTACAGCATGGTAAGGGGACAGAAAGTTGAAAGAGATGGTTAGGTTGGTATGGGAAGTCCATTCTATAAGATAGTACAAGAAGACCTGTATAAAAGGTGATTTTTAACTATGAATTACTGGAAAGAGTGAGGAGATGATGTTAGGCAAGAAAATTCTACACACAGGGAACTGCCTGAGGCAGGAACAATCTTGATTTGTTCAAGAAACAGAAGGTAGCTGGTGTGGTTACAACAGAGTAAGCCATGGGGAGTATGATTGGAAAGTTTGTAAATGATGTATGGGAAGGGCACATTGGGAAGTTCCACAGAACACTATAAACAACTAGGAAAGCCATTGGCATCTTTTCCCCTAAGGATGTGAAATAACCTGACTTATGGTTTTTAGAAGATTGGCCTTTGAACTGCTGGCGAGACAACAATGGAAGCAGGGAGCCCTGTGAGGAGCTCTTATAGGTGTCCTGACAAGAAATAGACTGAAATGATAGTAGTGGGCTTAGGGATCAGTACCTAGTCTCAATAAATTCTTCAAATGTGGAACTGAAAGGACTTGCTAATAGAGTAGATGTGTGAGATCAATGATGTTAGGGCATTTGGCTGAAATAGAATATCATTTAATGAGACAAGGAACAGTTTGGGTGCAAGGTGGAGAGTTACAGATAGATAATGGCAAGACTGAACTCTAGTGATGGTAAAGCAGGAAACAAATCTGCTCTTTATGAAGACCCAGGGAGCAGGGCAGGTGGTGAGGGGAAACTAAGTGAGAAGGGTGTTAAGCAGGGTAGAGTATGCAAGGGAAAACACAGAGAATCAGAGAGAGAGAGAGAGAGAGACTTTGAACAATATGAGTGAAATTTGAATACAGGGTGAAGAAGAAGGAGAAGTGAAGAATGAGACTCTTTGGATTGAGAAACTCTTTGGTCATCAGGTGTACCTATTAACTAAAATAAAGAGAAAGAATAGTATGGAAGAATAGTATGGTGTAGCAGAGAAGGGAGTTAATGCATTTTTTTTTTTCAGTTGCCATGAGCTCTCAGCCTGGTGGTGAAACAAAATTGATTTGGAGATTTGGTCACCATCATTATGTAGAAGGTTTTGGAGGCCATGGGAATAGCAAAGATTGACATCAAATTTTTGATCAATGGCAGAGGAAGAATAGGTGGTGAAAAACTTAAGCAATAAATATGGGTAATTATTTTAAGAAGTTTGCCTATAAGGAGAAGGAGACAGAAAAAACGAAACCTAAAGGTCAGAGTTGTGTAAAAGAATTTTTTAAGATATAAGATGGGGAAGACTTAAACCGTCTAAATATTTTAAATATATTGTTAAGAAGGTTAAGAGAAAAGAAAGAAATATGGGAGAAAGAGAAGTTAATCAGTAAAGCACGATCACTGAAAGGATTTAATGCAATTCAGAGAATAGCTAGCGACATTGATATAAATTTAATTAGATGTGAGCTTTTCTATGGTAATTTTCAGTCTTAAAATTTCAACACAGTGTATTTAATAGCAATACACTGAAGGTATTTATATACTTCTCGTACCACATTTTCACTAATATTATTCTCAGGAAGATTCTTAGAGAAGAAGAATTATAATTGTTGTAATATGTTGGAACTTTCTTATTTTTTCACTTTTCGTTTATGTTGATATATAACAGATGTATATATTTGGGGTAAGATGATAATTTAATACATCAATCACACAATTTGCCAAGATCAAATCAGTGTAATTGGGATATGCATCACCTTAAATGTTTATATTTTCTTTATGCTAGAAACATCAGAATTGTTCTCTTCTAACTATTTTGAAATATGCTGTAGATTTTTATAAACTATAGCCATCATACTGATCTATTAAGCTGTGGATTTTATTTCTTCTGTCAAACTGTATATTTGTAATCTTTGTATAATAATTGACCCCATGTCATTTCTTCCTCTTATTTTTAAACTCATATTAATTATTGAATTTATTATCCTCTAAACATTTTTATGAGATGTAATTTTCATCTTCATTTTCTAGATTAAAAATTTGATATTTGGAGTAATTAACTATTTTTTTCAAGTCATGCAGCTAGTAAATAGCAAACTAATATCAAATTCTGACATGTTGTTCCAAAAACCCCTTATCTTCTGTTGTGTTATATTCTCTGAACAATAGTCTCATTCACTCTAAAAGCCAACTATCCATGCCAAGTAATTTGCAGAGAGAACGAACATTGTTCTCACTCCCAAGTTAGCTGGTAATTGATGTCTGAAATTCCTTTATCAGAGAAATCATATTTTTTTTAAAGATACGGGCCTCGCTATGTTCCCCAGCCTGATTAGATTTTTAACCTGTTGAAGGTAGGATTTATGTGCTATAACCTGATATTATTACAAAATCATAAGAAACAGCATCTGCTGCCTCATAGTTGGTTAAATAATGTATGCTGAAACAACTACTTCTTGAAAATGCTTTATATGCAAATATGCAAAAGGTAGCATATAGACTTAAATGACCAACTAATCAATAATGCCTATCTGACCCTTTCCTAAAGGTAGAGATAAGAAAGAGTTGCAGAAGGGTAATGGTTGTGATATTGAAGCCCCTTACAGGAAGAGAAAGGATGAAGAACCAAAGACATCACAGAGAAACTTGGCCTCATTTCCACATTTCCAATAGACCCTGATTAAAAAATTGGCTAAAGACTAGACTTAAAATACAGCTAGCAGCTGGTCATCATCTCTGCAAAATAAACTTCTTTGGAAAAACACATGCTGAAACACAGTAATCAATAACTTTGTATTTAGGAGTAAATTACAATCATTACGGCCAGTAATTTTTAACATGTGGAATACTAAGGATATTGAGTTTTACCCCCCACTACAGATAGAAGGGATGCTATTAAAATAATAAATTTGCCAATTATTGTTCTTATCTATATGGGGGTCTATCAATGAGGTGTTTAGAATTGAAAACAATGGTCATAATACTAAAGTTTCTCCCTGTTCTTGGGTTGCCAATTCTACCTATCCAAATGCACAATCGGTAAGGAGGTGTCACACTTCAACTCTAAGTGTAAGCTCACAGAAAAAGCACCAAGGCAAAGCTTTTCCATTTTGTCATCAAACTTTCTCTAAGGTGTGTATAAGTGTTGTTTTAAAATGCTACATATTTTCACCCTTTTTGTATGCCTAGTTCTTTGTCATTTTTAGGATTAACATAAGGAAGTCTATAAAAAGGACTCACTTGGTACTAGAAGCACTCATGTATTAGGGTCCTCTAGAGTGACAGAACTAATAGGATATATATATATATATATATCCTATATTACATATATATGGAGTTTAAGTAGTATTAACTCACGTGATCACAAGGTCCCACAATAGGCTGTCTACAAGCTGAGGAGCCAGAAAGCCAGTCTGAGTCCCAAAGCTGAAGAACCTGGAGTCCTATGTTCAAGGTCAGGAAGCATCCAGTGTGGGAGAAAGATGTAGGCTGGGAGGCTAGGCCAGTCTCGCCTTTTCATGTTTTTCTGCCTGTTTTATATACTGACCATGCTGGCAGCTGATTAGATGGTGCCCACCCAGACTGAGGGTGGGTCTGCCTTCCCCAGCCCATGGACTCAAATGTTAATCTCCTTTGGCAACACCCTCACAGACACACCCAGGAACAATACTTTGCATCCTTCAGTCCAATCAAGCTGACAGTATTCACCATCACAACCCCATTTGAAAAGAAATACATCAATATTTTGAAAGGCAAAAAAGAGTGGGCAGGGATGTAAGAATAAAAGAAGTAGGGGTTTTGAATAAAAAAGAAAGAAAAAATTTAGAAGTGATTAGAAGTGATGAGAGGCAAGGATGGAGGAGGAGAAAAGGATCATATTGAAAATTGTAAGTAAACGGATAAAAAAATAATTAGTCTAAGAGATGGCTGTGAAATTCAGCCACCAATTGCTTCAAATGTCACTTAGTAGCACTAAAGCACTTGGAAATGTTCAAGTTGCTGTAGTGGCAAATGAGACACATCTGAGTAAACAAAATAAATTGATAAAAGAAAAGCTTCTCCTGTAATCCCAGCACTTTGGGAGGCCGAGGTGGGCAGATCAGGAGGTCAAGAGATTGAAACCAGCCTGACCAACATGGTGAAACCTCATCTCTACTAAAATACAAAAATTAGTTGGGGGTTGTGGCACATGTCTATAATCCCAGCTACTCAGGAGGATGAGACAGGAGAATCACTTGAACCTGGGAGGCAGAGGTTGCAGTGAGCCGAGATTGTGCCATTGCATTCCAGCCTGGGCAACAGAATGGGACTCCTTCTCAAAAATAAATAAACTCAACTCAACTAAAATAAAATAAAATAAAAGCTTATTTGTGTAAGTTTGGCTTTTGCATTATTCCGCAGCTGGTTTTTTTTTTTTTTTTTTTTTTTTTTTTTTTTGGTCTTTTACACAGTGATGGTAAAACTTCAGTAGTTACTCACTGAAGCCTAACTTCACTAGGCAAGATCATGACAGATAATGAAGTACAGAAAAGTATTCACAAAGCAATTTATGTTGAAGAACATTTAGGCAGTTATATGTTGCAAAGAGGGAAAAAAATAAGATTAAGGACAGAGTAAAACTGAGTGGTAAAGCTAAGCTGAATAATTGCATGTGGTATATTGGAGATTTTGTTATATTTGGGTCCACACAGGTGTATGGAAGGTGACAACGTGCCAGCCAAAGAAGAATGCTCAATGAGCACCATCCAACCGGAGCAAGGATGTGGCAGGCTCTGGGTACAGACAGATGGAAGTCTCTGGCAAGTTCTTCTTTATATTTTTCTCACTCTGTGGATAAATACAGGCACTCACAGATATCATTGTAAATTTCAGTTGCTATTTCTAGGGAGCCCAATGTTGTGTGCAGTGTTATAAGGAGAATGTTGGCTCTTGTGTGAAGATTTACCTCACTGCATTGTCATCCTCTGATGATACCCCCAGGAAATACATCCCAGAGTTCAAGGAATAGAAAGATACACTGACCAAGTAGAGATTTTCAAATAACATAGACTAGTAACTCAATTAAAAACACAGGGGAGGGTCAAGGGAAAAGAAAAAAGGTAAAATAATCCACTTAGGATAGAGTACAAGGAAGATAGAAAGGACGTACTATCTGAGTCCCGAGATATGTTCTATCAGAGAGACACAGAAGTACGCCCGGCCAAGATGTAGTTCATCTTTTAACCTGATGAGCAGCTGTAGATTTTATTTATGTCTCTTGGGAGACTGCAGGTAGGGTCAGATAGGTGTCACAAATGGTTGGTCAATTTAAGAACTCATAAATATTGTGTGCTTTCATAAGCCTCATGAATTTGTTATGTATCAGGAGTATTATGTGTCTCAGGTATATGCAGTGTATTATGAATATTAAGTACCACTTTCTGTCTCTACGTCTGGTGCATACCTGTTTTACTTATGTTACCTATTCCTAACCCATAATATAGTTTACTGATTTACTTAATATTTTCATGAATTCTGTCTATACCTCACAAGCTACTTGTTTCCACATCTAATTTATCATCATTTGTCTCTTTTTCCTATTTCCTATATCAGAATTGAATCATCTTAAATAATAAAGGAAAAATCACATTACATTAAAAGTGAGAGAGGACTTGCTGGAGAGAAGGGAAATGTAAAAGCTGGGAGAACTGGGTCAGTGATAGTTGAGACGACATTGTAATTTAACATAGTTATAGTGAATGTTGGGAGATAATGAAAAAAGATAACACAGATAGTGAATCCACATCTGTTTTATAAGGTTGATGATTAGCACTTTCTTTCTTATTAGAAACAGGAGTGTCTGCCACAAACAGGAATGCCTTCTGCCCTGTTTCTACCTTAGAATATGGAAGTCACTCTTAAAAGGTCCAGAGTGAGATAACTATCTTCTTTCTTTACGTCTAATTATCACCTTTTCCTTAAGCATTGCCTCCCTTAGGAACAGCCTCTTCACCGTGTGATTGATGGAGAAGATATCCACTTCCCAGGATAGACTCCATTTTCTACCCAATGTCCCAGCGACACAATTACCACAAAGAAGGTGAATCTTCTTTCCATTCTGATTAAGTGATACTTATATAAGGATGCATCTTAAAACGAGGTGAATATACAATGAAATTTTTATTCTTTAAAACTCTCTCTCCTCTAGTGGAAGATGAATTTACATTTGTGTGATGTTTTCTGCAGCTCCCATTGTTGCAGTCCCCATTTCTTATTCCCTGTCTTTTCTGTCTATTCATCTGCCACACACCACTTTCCAATAAAGATACAGTGTTCCAGCATACACAAAAAGTGTGTCTCGCATACACAAAAAGTAACTCAAGATGGATTAAAGACTTAAATATAAGACCTCAAACTATAAAAATCCTAGAAGTAAACCTAGGAAACATTCTTCTGGACATTGCCTAGGCAAAGAATGTATGACTAAGACCTCAAAAGCAAAAGCAATGAAAACAAAAATTTACAATTGGTACCTAATTAAACTATAGAAATTTTGCACAGCCGTAATAAACCATCAAAATTGTAAACAGCCTACAGAATGGAAGAAAATATTTGCAAACTATGCATCCAACAGAAGACTAATATCCAGAATCTATAAGCAACATAAACACATCAACAAGAAAAAAAAAACAAATGACTCTATTGAAAAGTGGACAAAGGACATGAACAGACTTTTCAAAAGAAGACATACATGAGGCCAACAAACATATGAAAAGAAAAATGCTCAACATCACTAATTGTTGGAGAAATGCAGACTAAAGCCACAATGAGATACCATCTCACACCAGTCAGAATGACTATTAAAAAGTCATAAAATAACATGTTGGTGAGGATTCAGAGAAATGGAAACACTTATACACTGTTGGTGAAAATGTAAATTAGTTCAGCCCCTATGGAAAGCAGCTTGGAGGTTCCTCAAAGAGCAACAAAAATAAGACTGCCATTTGACCCAGCAATCCCACTACTGATCTACCAAAAAGAAAAAAAAAATTGTTCTACCAAAAAGATACCTGTACTCATTTGTATATCACAGCACCATTAACAATACCAAAATTATGGAATCAACCTGGATGACCATCAATGTGGCCTGGATAAAGAAAATATGGTACATATAAACAAGGGAATATTACACAGCCCTGAAAAATAAGTGAAATTATGTCTTTGCAGCAACATTGATACAGCTGCAGGTCATTATCCTAAGTGAATTAACACAGAAACAGAAAATCAAATACCACATGTTCTCACTTATTAGTGGAAGCTAAACAATGAGTACACATACATAAGGATGGAAACAGTAGACACTGAGGACTCCAAGGAAGGGGAAACTGGAAGCAAGGGTTGAAAAACTATCCGTTGGGTACTGTGTTTGCTACTTGGGTGATGGGTTTGATGAAATCCCAAATTTCAGCATTATATATTACATCCATTTGACAAACCTGCACATGTACACCTGAGTCTAAAATTTAATGAATAAAATAAAAATTTTAACCCTAAAAAATACTGGATTCATACTCCAAAATGATGTGGTAATGTGACAACATAAATGTAAAACTAAAGTGTTCTGCTACTTCACAAAATCAAATTTTAATTTAAATGTGAATTGAATTAATCCACCATGAGCAAAATCATAAAAAACTTCAAGATAGGAAGATAATGATTTCACAACTCATTTTTCTTAAATTGTGTTTGGTATTGCTGCTTGTAGCTGCCACCTCTCTCTCTACAGAAGTTTGAACAAAGCTTATAGCAGTGAAATAGGAAAGTAATTGGAGTGTAGTAAAAGCAATTCTGTGGAAAAAAACTGCATGAAAAAGTTTTATCCTCCTATGTATCCCCTGAATCTAGCACAGTGCCTACCTGTCTGTAGGGGTTCAACATTTGCTCACTAAACGAAAGGAAATTTGTGGATGAGTTATTGGTGACCTAGGAAAAGCAGCAGGTACTCTCAACCAATGGGATCACGAATGGAATAACTTTTTAAAACAAGGACCTAACTCAAATCAATTGGAAAGGAAATGATGACAGGCATTCAGAGATGAAGGTGTTTGAAAATAATGACTGTGGCTGTAATAGAACAGTTTTATGAATGTGAGAAATAAATGGAAAATGAATGATTGCCACATAGCCATCTTTTCCCATTAGCACAAACATAGCCCAAAGTATCTTATTCAACTACTCATGTAACATCTGACTACTCGTATTACACAATAATCAAAACACGTTTAAAGGAGTATTTTAGTTTATAAGGCACATTCATGAAAGGTTCATTATGTAAAAATTGAAACAAAATTTTTAAAGATAGAGCAGATGAAGAAGGCAATCTTATTGCCATTTTATAGATGAAATATAGGAGAATGAATAATTTCAAAACACAGCTGGCTCACAGGTAGTACCAGAACTTTTTATTGTTTTTTATAATCTATATTATTTAATTATATTGGCAGTTATACATTTTGTACAATAAAATTCACTTAATTGAAGAGTCCAATTTGGTGAGTTTTGACAAATATATTGTGACAGTGTAAACATAACCACAAATAAATCATCGAATATTTCCATCACCCTGAAAAGCTCCCTTATGTCCATTTGTGGTCAATCTGCTGCAACCATCCTTAAGACGGAAGTGGCTGCTCCAGAGAGATCGTCGCAGCCATCATGCTGGCTGCATGCAGCAGGGAGGCACAGTTGGGGCTGCATACTCCGTGGAGCCAGTGGGAGCCCCACCCCTATCGTGTTGGGGTAGAAGCTCCCCAGGAGCAGTTGCAGCTACCCAAACCGCAGCTGCAGACCCAGGTCTCCCACTCCATGTAGGTAGGAGCCTAAAACTAATTCATAGTTTTAATTTTTAGTTGTAGATCTATGATTCTTTTAGCACAGATTTTTGTTTATGTTGTGAAATAAGTGACAGTATTTATTTTTTCGTATGCAAAAATTTTCCCACAGAATTTGTGAAAGACTATTCTGTCTTCATTTAATTACCTGGACAACTTAGTGAAAATCAGTTGACTATGTAAGTAAAAAATCTCTTTCCAAACTCTGTTTTATTCTATTTACCTAAAGTTAATCTGTATGCCAATACCACATCATGTTGCTTAATATAGTTTCATAATTAGTCTTAAAGGTACAGTAAACTGGCCAGGCGTGGTGGCTTGTTTCTGTAATCCCAGCACTTAGGGAGGCCAAGGTGGGTGGATCACTTGAGGTCAGGAGGTCAGGAGTTCAAGATCAGCCTGGCCAACAAGGTGAAACCCCATCTCTACTAAAAATAAATTTTTTTTTTTTTTTTTTTTTTTTTTTTTTTGGTGGAGGACAGAGTCTTGCTCCAGGCTGGAGTGCAGTGGCACAATCTCTGCTCACTACAAGCTCCATGTCCTGGGTTCATGCCATTCTTCTGCCTCAGCCTCCTGAGTAGCTGGGATCACAGGCATGCTCCACCTGCCCAGCTAATGTTCTGTATTTTTCGTAGAGACAGGGTTTCACCGTGTTAGCCAGGATGGTCTCGATCTCCTGACCTTGTGATCCACCCGCCTCAGCCTCACAAAGTGTGGGGATTACAGGCATGAGCCACCATGCATGGCAAAATACAAAAATTTTCTAGGTGTGGTGGCACATGCCTGTAGTCCCAGACACTTGGGAGGGTGAGGCACAAGAATCACTTGAACACAGGAGGCAGACATGCAGTGAACTGACATCACACCACTGTACTGGGCGACACAGCAAAACTTCATCTAAAGTACAATTAATGCTTCAATTTTTGTTTTTACCTTTTTATTTTATTTTATTTTGGCAACTCTATGTCATTCCCATTTTTACATAAGTTTTAAAGCAAGATTGTTAATTTCTTCAAAAGTATCTCTGCAGTTTTTATTTAAATTTCATAAATCCACAGATTACTCTGGACAAATTGACATGTTGATAGTATTGAGTCTTCTACCAATGAACATAGCATATATTTAGTTTATATTTTATTTGTCTCATATAGTCTGTGTCCCCACCCAAATCTCATCTTGAATTCCCACATATTGTGTGAGGAACCTGGTGGGAGGTAATTGAATCATGGGGGCAGGTATTTCACAGGCTGTTCTCATGATAGTGGATAAGTCTTACAAGATCCGATGATGTTAAAAATGGGAGCTTCCCTGTGCAAGCTTTCTCTTTGCCTGCTTCCATCCATGTAAGACATGACTTGCTCCTCCTTGCCTTCTGCCATGATTGTGAGGCCTCCTGAGCTGTGTGGAACTGTAATCCATTAAACCCTTTTTCTATATAAATTACCCAGTCTGGGGTATGTCTTTATCAGCAGCATGAAAACAGACTAATACAATAAATTGGTACCAGAAGAGTGGGGCACTGCTGAAAAGACACCCAAAAATGTGGAAGCGACTTTGGAACTGGGTAACAGGTAGAGGTTAGAACAGTTTGGAGGGCTCAGAAGAAGACATGAAAATGTGGAAAAGTTTGTAACTTCCTAGACACTTGTTGAATGGCTTTGCACAAAATCTTGATAGTGATATAGATAACATTCAGGTTGAGGTGGTCTCAGATAGAAATGAGAAACTTGTTGGGAATTGGAGCAAAATTGACTCTTGTTACATTTTAGCAAATAAACTGGAAGCATTTTTCCCCTGACCTAAAGATTTGTGGAACATTGAACTTGAGAGAGATGATTTAGGATATCTGGTGGAAGAAATTTCTAAGCAGCAAAGCATTCAAGAGGTGACTTGAGTGTCATTAAAGGCATTCAGTTTTAAAAGAAAAACAGAGCATAAAAGTTTGGAAAATGTGCAGCGTGACAATGTGATAGAAAGGGAAATCCCATTTTCTGAGGAGAAATTCAAGCTGGCTGCAGAAATTTGCATATGTAATGAGGAGCCAAACGTTAATCACAAAAACATTGAGGAAAATATCTCCAGGGAATGTCAGAGACTTTTATAGCAGCCCTCCCATCACAGGCCTGGAGGTTTAGGAGGAAAAAATGATTTCATGTGCTGGGCCCAGGGTCCCTCTGCTGTGTGTAGTTTAGGGACTTAGTGCCCTGCA